ACTAGGCTAATCCTCCGCCTTACGGCGCCCGCACACGGGGTTCTAGTCCCAGTCGGGGCGCCGGATTCTGTCCCGGTTGCCCCTCTTCCAGGCCAGCTCTCTGCTGTGGCCAGGGAGTGCAGTGGAGGATGGCCCAAGTACTTGGGCCCTGCACCCCATGGGAGACCAGGAGAAGTACCTGGCTCCTGCCATCGGATCAGCGTGGTGTGCCGGCCTTTGCTGGCCGCAGCGCGCCGGCCATGGCGGCCATTGGAGGGTGAATCAACGGCAAAGGAAGACCTTTCTCTCTGTCTCTCTCTCACTGTCCACTCTGCCTGTCAAAAAAAATAAATAAATAAAAAAAAACAGCATTAAGTGCAAGATATGGAATAAAGACAAGCCAGCAAAAACATGAGAAAAAATCATTAATTTTGTGGTCCAAGTACTGTTTCAATTAAAAAATTAACAAAATTTTAGGACATATTAAGGGATAAAACACTAATGGTTTTCCAGAAACTTTGCATTATATCTGTATTTAATCACGTTCACATGTTGAATGGAGAATGGAAAAGGTATGTATAAAAGTCACATTTGTGATGTTAGGAGTAAAAAGGAATGCACTCCATCCATTACTTTCCAAAAATGAAAGCTAAGGATTGTACAGCTGACATCCTAGGAAAGAAAGATGGTTATAGGCAGCTAATAGAAATATAAACAAAATATATAACAAAATATAAATATAAATATAATAAACAAAATACAATAAAAATATAAAATAAAAGTATAAACATAAGCAAAGATTATGCCTCCTATGGAAAAAGTCATCCTTATCTCATTGTTTCAAAATATTGATGCAACAATGGTTGATTTTATGCTTAAATCCTGTAAAAAAAAGTTTGGACAACTGTACACATACACCCACATACATACACACACATACATATCTATATAAATATAAATTAAAAATTCTCACATACTATGTCAAAGCTTACTTAATGCTGCTTCATCTACCAAGTTGTGTGTTTAGGACAGTCAATCATTAGTATTAGTTTGATAGGAAGAAGTAAGATTCCCAAATTCTTTAAACTCAACACTAATGTGTCCAGCAATTCAACCACTAGTCTCAGCATCCTAACCCAAGCATTTTTACTAAAACTTTCTACAGGGTAATATTAATTTATCCTAGCCATCATATTAATTAGTCTCTACATTCAAGATTTAAAACAGAGATAAAGTAAAATATATCAATGATTCAAGTTTAAAAAAACAATATGGCGATGACAGGAGGGAAAAAGAAATACTCAAAAGAGCTTTCTATGCATGCATTTATAAAGAATTTAGAAATTCTTAAAGAGTAACTAAATTAAATCCTTTAATTTTTATTTAATCTTCTTTCTTTTCTTCTGAGTCAAGACTTAGCCCTAATGCATAAATTTGGAAGATCTGTATTTGATTATGGAAAGAAATTGTCCTATTTCTAAGCTGGGAAGTCAGGAACATGGTTGAAATAAAATTTGGTTTAATACAAGGGAAAAGCATAATAAAAAATAGGCGTAGAAGTTTCAAAAATTCCAGCAAAAGTTAGGAAATTCAAAATACTTACTCATTGAAAATGTCATGGTAACAAGTATTAGAAAGCCATATCCGGGCTATGCACTGTGGCATAGTGGGTAAAACCGCTGCCTAGCAATGCCAGCATCCCAAATGTACACAAGTTCGAGTCCCAGCTGCTCCACTTCCAATTCAGCTCTCTGCTATAGCCTGGGAAAGTAGTAGAAGATGGCCCAAGTCCTTGGGCCACTGCACCCATGTGAGAAACCCAGAAGAAGCTCCTGGCTTCAGATCAGCACAGCTCCGGCTGTTGAGGCCAACTGGGGAGTGAACCAGCAATGGAAGACCTCTCACTCTCTCTCTCTCTCTCTGCCTCTCCTTCTCTCTCTGTAACTCTGACTTTCAAATAAGTAAATAAATCTTAGAAAAAAAAAAAACTTTAGAAAAAAAGAAAGCCATATCCATGTGGTTTTATCCAATTTTGGTTTTGACAGTAATTTTCATGTCACCCTTCACATAACTATGCTATTTAATATTTAAATCAAAAATGATTTAAAATTATAAAATAATACTGACATTTAGACTAATAAAGTTTGTATTCAAACATCTTTAAAGGACAGTAGAAAAACACGAGTAATTTAAAGTAAGCAATAGGAATCGAAATAGGTAGCTACAGTTATCATTGGTAAATATTATACTGGTTTTGTTGCCTTAAAACTCTACATGTTCTATATTTAAATATATGTGAATCTTAAAATGTCAAACAGAGGTTAAAACAGGAAACTGAACAGTTGTAATAATATCTGATAATAAAGCTGAGGGTGAAATATTACCACTTTAAGGTTTTTGCTACAGCTTCATTTCACTAAGACAGCTGACTCTTTTAGGTCACTTCATCTCAGTCCCTAAGAGAAAATGAGAGCAACTTGTTAAAGGTAAATCTCCCTTCTAATTTTACTGGATATTATTAGCTCATCAATAAAATATGAGCTTTTTTATGAAGTCTAAGAAAATGATATGGATTACTTGAGTCATTTTAATTACCATGGCTACAGAAAGAATCACACAAACCCTCTGGCTGAAGAATGGCCACTGGTCAGTGTTCTCCTTTCACAAGAACCAGGGGAGAAAGTCACCATAATTGTGTTTAAATAGAAACTGGCACTACATATCAATCACTGCTAGTGCTGACATCTTAACAAATCAATATGAAAGTGCTTTACAGGGATGTATATTATTATATAATATTACATAATATTATACTATTGTTTTAATTAGATGTTGTTTTATCACCTTGTGTTAACATAGCACCTTGCTCCAAATTTGTCAAAAGTGTAAATCTCATATTATTTTAAAAAATCAGGACACTCCTGGTGGTACACGGCCTAATGCAATAAAATCATTATCAGTTTCTTGAACACTGTGAAGACTTGGTGTTTCATACTCAGTGTACCTTTGTAGAGATAGATGCAGAAAGATAGGTGGATGGATGGATGACAGATGCTAGATAGATAAATAGATAGATAATAGGTGGTAGATAGGGATAGAAAGATACAGATTTTAAACTGACATGCAGTTAATTCTATCTGGCATTATTAAAATTAAATGCAGTCTAAAAACACCCCAAATAGACTTTCTGGAAAGGATATCTGTTTTAATAAAATTATATGTTTGAGAAACTGGAGAATGTTAATAAATAACCCTTAAAATTGAATTTCCAATTTGCAACAGGCCAATCCACATGGTAAACTACTTTTCAATTACAGTATCAAAGTATGAACACCTTGAGAGAAACCTTTCCATTGTGTTAATAATTAAAGTGTCCCGTTATACTCAGTAGGCCTAATCTATAGAAAGAGATGATACATCTTGGGTGTATGTATACAAACAGGTACGTGCAACAATAAACATGCAACAAACACAGCCACTCAGCTGGTCCAACAACATGCTTATTTCAAATAGCAATCAATAAAATAATACATTGATTCTAATTTTACGCAGTTCATTGAATCTAATTATAAAAGATTAGGGTCTACTCACATTATATATTCATTATTATCTTAATTTTCCACTATGGCACAGAATTTATGTTATTTACTGTATATAGCACAGTAAATATGCATATGATATGAAGTGACAGGACAAGTGAACTGCTTTGATGCACACTTTTCCTGAGCAACTTTGTCAAGAGTAATTAGGGTAAGATCTTGTAAGTGAAAAATGACAGTGACACAAGAGTAAAGCTTCTTAAAAGCACATTGTGTCACTTTTAGTTGCAATGTAAGTTGAGTCTGTGTGAAACAATATTTACATATGTAGAAATGAAACTGAATTTTCAAAATCTCAAGTAGGTATCAGATTTTCATGTTATTAATATAAATTTTGAAACTATATTTCTACTTGCATAGATAAACCTTTTTCAGTTTATGAACTATTTGAGGTCGTCTTTTTCACCTTAAAAGCATTTCCAAACTAAGACAGTGATAAAAAGAAAAAAAAAAACAAAAAAACAAAAAAAAATGAGTTGTAAATGACATGGAGATAGAATTGGGCTCTAATCCCTCATTCGCAGACTCTGATTGGATGAGCGATTAGGGAGGATTTCTCGGTTTGCCGTGGTGCCCTCTAACGACTAGATGGACCTCGCTCTAATAATCACTCCATGTGCAGTTTGCTTTAGCATTTACACCGCTGATGGTAGGAAGCAATCTTCTTTAATGGATGCTGAAAAGCTTCAAGTGAAATCTGTAATTGACAAAGGCTTCATAGAAACAGGCAATTAAGAATAAAATTAACAAGAGGCTCTACAGGAAAAGCCCTCAAGCTTTCACAGAATACTTGTCTAGGAAAATATTTGGTAATAATAAAATTTAAAAGAATCAGGTGTGGTTTCTCCCACTGTATGCTTGTTAACAAGACCATATACACAAAGTTAGCGTATCTAGAGGAATAATCCACCAGCTAATATTATTAGGGGAGGAGAGAATGAAAATATAATAAAAGACTATTGAGAAAGTTGAGGTAAGTTCAATACAACAGCGGTGCAGGTGTAGTGCCTCAAGTTTAATGGAGTTGTGGTGTTGACAGCAAATCAAAGCTTCCAGAGCAGAGCGGGAGGGTACAAGGGAGAGCAGAGCGGGGCACTAATCTCACTCTGGAACCAACACCACTCCTGAAGTGTTACTAGTCCAGAAAGTGACACCAGCACCTCCCAAGTGACGACTCAAGAGTGAGTGGGGGGAGGGTGGGAGTGCCAGCTCTGCTCTCTCTGACCCTGGCTGAGCGTCCTTATCCCTCCCTCCTCCAAACAAACACAGCAGCAAACAGAGGGAAGTTTACCTGTAGAGAGAGGTAAGAATGCGGGAGGGGCGGGGTGGTTCCGGGTCGCGCTCACCTCCCGGCTGGCCGCAGGCAGGAAGGAGGGAGGGAGGGAGGAGGTGGCCAGGCGGCAAGGGGCCGGGGGCACTTACTTTGAGCAGCTTGCAGCGGATCTGCGCCGAGACCATGTGGCTGTTGCGCAGGTTGCCCACCCGGAACATGAGCGTGAGTTTTCCGTCCCTCATGGAGATCACCGCGTGCTCGCTAAACATGAGGGTCTCGGCGCGCTTCTTGGGCTGGGACATCTTGATGAACATGCAGCCGATGAGGAAGGCGTCCACGATGGAGCCGAGGATGGACTGGAAGAGGAAGAGGATGATGCCCTCGGGGCACTTGTCGGTGATGTATCGGTAGCCATAGCCGATGGTGGCCTCGGTCTCGATGAAGAAGAGAAAAGCGGAGGGGAAGTTATAGACGTTGGCCACGCAGGGCGTGTAGTTGCCGACGTGGGCTTTGTTCAGGTCGCCCCGGGTGTAGGCGATCACCCACCACATGGACGCCATGAAGAGCCAGGCCACGGTGTAGGTGAGGATGAAGATGAAGAGGTTCCAGCGCCACTTGAGGTCCACCAGGGTGGTGAAGAGGTCCGAGAGGTAGCGGCTCGTCTCGCTGCCCAGGTTGCCGTGCTGGACATTGCACCGGCCGTTCTTGTCCACGAACCGCTGCCGCTTCTTCTTGGGCACAAGCTGCTGCTGCGGGCCCTGGCCCGGCCCCTGGGGCTGCAAGCCCGAGCCGCTGGACGAGGTGGTCACTACCTGGTAATCGTCCCCAAATTTCCTTCGGAGTGCAGACATAATACGGAGGGGCGAGCCAGATTCAAACGCGAAGCGAAGGTGCAGGAGCCGAGCGCTGCAAGCCAGCACCGATAAGGAGGTGGGGGCGGGGGCAGAGGGTGGGGGGCACAGCCGGCAGGTAGCGGCGGCCTCTGCCCCCTGCCGACGCCTCTCCCGTTCCCCCGGGACGGACGCTCGCTTTCCCAGCTGAGTCTGAGAACACAGAAAAGTGCTCTCCCGCACTCAAGGCAGGAGGGATGCACGGTCCAGGAACCCAAGCGCGATTTTGCCTCCAAGCTTTTGGAGGCTCCTCTTCTCTCCCCCCACCGCCGGCATCCCGGGCCACCGCCTGCCTTTCCGCAGCCCTCCTCACTACCCTGCACACTGACTGCTTAAAATGAATGAGTTGACAAGCCAGTCCCACCCCACCTGCCAACTCGCCAGGCTGCCAGGGCTGCGCTACCTGCTCGGACCAGACCCTCCCCCCTCCCCGCCGCTCCCCGCTCTCCCTCCCCCCCGGACGGCTCCTGGCTCCCCCTGGTGCTCCCGCCTCCTATCATTTCGCCAAAATCCCGCCCAAAGGCATGTCTGCCGGGCACTGATGCAACGCCCCCTACCCACGCTCTCCGGGCTCGGAGTCCCCCGCGCCGGACTCCAGCGACGTGTCCACCTGGCGTGCGCGGGCCGCCGACTTTCCGCGGGCGACACCAGGGCCCTGAGGCGGACCCTGCGAGGCCCCCAGGCCACCCCCGTGCTCGGGCAAGACGCGGCAGCACACGCGGTGGGGGCACTCACCCAGGCGGAGAGGGCTGGAGGCGGCGCAGCGGGCGGCAGCGGCAGCCTGGCCTCGCACTCTGTGCTCCGGGCTGTTTTCCTCCTCCCCACTTTTTCTGGTGTACCGCGATGGACGCCAATGCAGGTCCCCCAACCTCCGCACCTCCCTGTGGGCACCACGCTGTCCTCGCCAGTAGATCCAGGCGAGCCGAGCACAAACTGCCTCGGGCGCGGGACGCTGAGGTGCCTTGGCCGGGTGCCCTCCTTGCGGGCGAAGGCGGTGTTGCTGGACGAGGTTGCGAGCCTCGGGTCGGGTGGCAGGTCAGACTTTCAGGTTCAACACGAGCGCCGCTCCGGTTTTTCCTTGTGCCTCACCGTGGAAACCTCTGCCTCGTTCGTCCTCGGCCCCCCACTCCCGGGCCCCGGGTGCGGGATGCGAGGCGCAAGCAGGGGCGGCGGGAATGTGGTGTGTGTGCTGGTGCGTGTGATCAGCTGCAGAGCCGCGGGAGCCCCGCCTGTCCCTGCCTTCCCCCGCCGCTCCACCAGCCTGAATTGCACCTCCGCGCCTCAGTTGAGCCTGCAGTGTCTGGCAGCTCAGGAAGAGCGAGCCCCTCCAATGAGAAGCGGCTCTAAATCTGCTCCTTAAGCACCAGCCAACTCTCCTTCCTCGCCCCCCCCCCCGCCCCCAGCATCGTCAGAAAGCCCCCAGCAACAGCAAATGCTGCGCTCTGAACGGAGAGAAGAAGTACAATATGTCTCTGTCGGTAGGCTCTCCCTCAAACGGATGCCTGGGTTTGGGGATGTATCATAAAAGAGATCCCAACTGGCTCCGAAACAGTCCTATTCAGAACTTAAAAGTTGCAAGAAGCAGAGTGGACCCTTGGATGGGATCAGAGAGGAAGGGAGACACCAACAGGAACGCTGTCAATCTTCTCTGAAAATGGCTCTATTAGAAGGGCTCAGAATATCTAAGAGTTAAATGTGTGGCGGCAATGGAAGGAAGGAGGCTGGATTTTAATGGCCTCTGCCTGGCAGTTAACTTAATGTAGGGGCAAAGTGCAGGAATAGTTAATATAGTGGCTGTGAGTCAATATCAGCTTGTTTACCGCATTTCTTGTCTGTTTTAAATGTCATGATATCTTATGCCGTGCTCTGTTCAGTCCACAAACAAAAAGTTGATTTTGTTAGAAAGTCATGAAATCGAGGTATTATAAAAGCAAAGGTTGCTCTAAGAGTTCCATGCAGAAAAAAAATACATACATAATCACTGTACTGTTCTCTGCCAGTGAGTGTTCCCTTCTGTTTCTCTACCTCTCTAAACTCAGGACGGCAGGTACATGTGAGCTTGTCAGCCAAAACCAGAGCCCTCTTTCACTTGTCATTTGTTTAAAACATCTATCCCCAGTTACAGATACTTCTGTAGGCTCTCTGATAACAGGTCAGTACCTCTCTGTTATTCTTTTAGGATTATATAAGAAGGGAAAGTGACGCTGTGGAAAGTGCAAACTGCTCTGATCCTGGATTCATAAGACCTGATTTGAATCCTGAAAGGATCATTTTCAGGCTTTGTAACCTTGATCAAGTAGCTAAATCTCATGGAGACCCAATTTTCTCTGAAAATTGGGAGGTTGGTTTCCATTTTTCCCAGTGCTGCATGAGAGAATGAATGTGATTTTATGATGTCTGCTGTAAGGTTTGTTCTATACGGGGCTAGGATGTTTCAACAAAGCTGAGAAGAAATTATGAATGAGTTTTTGGAGTTGCAGTAGGCACCGTGCTGTGAAGTAACATATATTCTTTTTTCATCCTGACTATTCTCCCCCTACCTCACGATGCCCTTGTTGGGCTGGTTTCTTTCCATTCCTGAAACAAGTCCATGCATAACCTGTCCCTGTGCCTTTGCACTGTTCCCTCTGCCTACAGTGCTCTTGCCTTGATGTTCAGTTTCTGGTTCTTTCCATCATTCAGCTCTCATCTAAGTTAGTATCCTCCTCAGGGAAGCCTTCTCTAACATCAAAAGCACTCCATGTTACATCAACAGTTCATTTTCTAGTTTTTCCCTAGCTCTAAATTCTCTCCATTGGTTTGTTGTCTCCCCTGCCATTGCTGATCACAGAATATATGTAACTCTGTAACAGCAAGGACATTGTCTTTTGTCTTTTTTAATGTTTATTTGATAAGGCAGAGTTTGGGGGAGAGAGGTATCTTCCCTCTTCTGGTTCACTCTAAATAGCTACAATGACTGGGGCTGGACCAGGTCAAAAGCCAGGAGCCCAGGAACTCCATCTGGTTCTTCCACATATGTAGTAGGGGTTCAAGCACTTGGCCAACATATGCTTTCTGAGACACATTAACAGGGAACTGGATTGGAAGTAGAACAGTTAGGACTTGAACCAGCACTCATATGGGATGCCAGTGGCTTAACCACTGCACTACAATGCCAGCCCTGATACTATCTGTCTTGTTCCTTGTTATTTCCTCAACACCCAGAAGAGTACCTGTCACATAGAAGGTCCACATGAATTGCTGCCTTAATATGTGCCATTCCACATCACTGGAAATTCTACTTGCATTGAAACTCTAAGTGAAATATTAAAAATCATCACCAAGTCAGGTTGCTTATTGACTAACATGACGTAACATATAAATTTCTTTAAAGCAAATAACGGTTCTCATGCTGTTTAGCTTCAAAATTCATGCTCGATGAGGTTCAGAGTCCTTTTGATTTTGTTCCAGTATCTCTCATATTTCCCTCTTTCTTAAAAAAAATGCTACTAAATGGGGCCAGCATTGTAGCATAGCGAGTAAAGCCACCAACCTGCGATGCCAGCATCCCATATGGCACTGGTTCATGTCACTGCTGCTTCACTTCCCATCCAGCTCCCTGATCATGGCAAGGGAAACCAGCAGAAGATGGCTGAAGTGTTTGGGAGAGTTGGGTGAAGCTCCTGGCTCCTGGCTTCAGCCTGGCTCGGACCTAGCCATTGAGTCCACTTGGGAAGTGAACCAGCAGATGGAGGTTCTCTCTCTCTCTCTCTCTCTCTCTCTCTCTAGCTCTGAATTTCAAACAGATAAATCTTTTACTAAGCTACTCAAGTGATTTTATAAACTTCATTCAGTTTCTCTTTCACACTGTCATAAATAGTATTACTAGACCTATCACTTTAGAATCATCTAAGTTTACTATTATAATAGAAACCTAAAATTTCTCTTCATTTCTAAGCTTTGAAATATCACTTATAAAGAAAATACTTTTCTTTGAAACGGATTTGCCATTTTCCAACAGATTCATGAGGAATTTTATACTTTCAGAGTATAAAATCTTGTCTAATCTTCTCACTTTATAAATGAAGAAATAGAAGATAGGAAGAGAAAATAGAGCAAGAAAATTTTGCTCAATGTCACAGAGCTGAGAAATAGAAGCTGAGATTTGACACAGGACAAAAATTCCAGAACCTAGGACCTCTGGTATCCCTCACCAGGTAATGGCAGACTTAGAAAAAAGTCAAGGATTCCTGATGCATAGCCAGGGCCTCTTTTGTGACATAAGTTGTTATCTAAGGCCCTCCAAAATATGATCTAAGCTAATCCTACTTGCCCTTTAACGTTCTCTCTGTTGTAGCCAATGTTGACTGTTAGCAGTTCTCCAGACATGCCCTACATTAGCTTTATTTGCTCACCAACTTCTCATCAGTTGGAAAGTCCTTTTCTCATCCCTGCAAAGTCCAAATCGCAGTTATAGTGTGTAAGGAAAGGCAAGAATTTCTTCATTTTTTAAATTCAACTGCCACCTCCTCCATGAAGTTTTCCCTTATTTCCAGCTCGTAGTAGTCTGTCACTTCTCTAAATCTCATTTCTTTAGATTTGCAATGTAACATTTTTCACATTCTAGTTTATATTTCTGCTTGGAATCCACCAAAATTTCCTCCAAAGAGCAAACACCCTAAGCATCCACTTCTTAATACCGCAGTACCATCAAGTACTCAGTGAGCCAACCTAGCCTTGCACATGCTAAACATTGAAAAGTTTGAGAAATAACTAGAAAGAAAAAAACATATTAATAATCCTCTTTTAATATGCCATGTGATGTGTTTGGAACATAAAGGTTAACATTTGTATTACATGCCTAGAAAGACAGTGCTGCAGAGATTCTAAAACACATCTCTCCATTTTCAAGGTCTCTGTTCTTTGGAGACACAAGACTGCCTGATAAGTTAAATATTTTTCAGGATGCCATCATGTCACACTTTAAATATGACTGCACCTTTGACCTATTTGTGACATTGAGCCCGACACCTTGATAATGTTTACAAATGAACCACACTCATCTTTCCCTGTGAGGACAGCTGCTTCCAGGATGAGCCTGTGGAGGACGGCCAGGCGGGATGTGTGGGGAATGCATGGCAGAAAGCCACCTAATCAGGTGCTGTCTGATGAGCTGAGGTCAAACACTGTGTGCAGAGTGGATCAAAGGAGAGAGAGGCACATGATTTCAGATCAAGCTTCCAGAAAAATCTGGAAAACATAATTTCAGAACCCACTTAAAGAGAAGATGCTAAATTCTGAGCCAACTACCTTGTGGGTAAAAAGAATAAAGCCAAATTTAGTAACAGACTCAGCTAAGAGAAAGCTACATATTTGTTTGGCCTGGAAATTACTTCTGAAGACATTTTATTTGCTGTATCTAAAATTGTAATATCATGACTAGCTATAACTTTAAAAATGAAGGATATGATTCTGTGTTTTATACCAAAAAAAGCATGACTTTGAACATGCACTTACCCTATTATGTAACTGAACAGTGTGGGGAAAAGAGTATATCAAATATAAAAGAAAAAACCTTTGCCCCTGAGAAGTCCAAATTCTAAAAATGACTTAATCGGCCAACTGTGACAAAAGCAAGGCTTTGAACAACTCAGTACACCTGGAGTCTGTCTTCTCCTCATTCATTTTTTGTCAATGTGACAGACCACATGACAATCTGTGTGGCCAGAAATATTAATTACTCTCAGGGGGAAATGGTATGATATTTAACACTCCTTTACTCCTAACCCTGCCATTCTCCACGAGGACAATGAAGAAGTGGACAGGCCTGGGGATCTAAAGCTCTCAGACTTCAAAGGGTGACACATTCTTGTTGCCACCATAAGTTTTACTGTAGCTG